GAAGTGTATAGATTATATTCGCTAAAGTTAAACAATCATGAGCATTGCAATCGATATTGATGCGTCAACAAAAAATGGAAAAAAGCGGTAAAACCGATAAGTGAGAGAATATAGGAGAGGAGGGAAGGGGGGAGGGGAGGGATTTCATAAATTTAAGATGTACAAGGGACAAGGAAGAAATAAAATAGCTATATCGGTCCAAAACTCAAATTCATGGTGAACTAAGAAAATGCTATGCAAATGTTGTTAAATTTTTGCAGATGAAGTTGGTTTCTTTGGGTTAATTTCATTGCAGTAGACACAGGTTCGAAATAACTCTGTTACCTTCTATCCTCCAACTAAATCTTTAACTTTTCGAAAAAGTTCAAAACGCCGCCGTAAATTTATGTACAGAATTTTTTCTTGTCAAGCATGAATACTATCTATTTTACGATAATTCAACATTGTGGGAAGCATACACATACGAGAAAGCCCCGAATAGATAAACGAAACAAACATAAAACGAAAAGATTGAAACACAAAAATGAATAAATCCAACAAGTTATGGAGGCGTTGTGAAATTTATGAAGATGTGAAAAAAGAACAAAAATTCGAAATTCAAAATGCCGGTAGTGGAAGCCAAACTTAGAATAAGGGAAAGCAGTTTTGCAAATTCTTCTCGCGCCTGCAATCTCATAAACACTGCATTCTTATTCCGCCTATTTACAAAAGGGCAAGAAAAAACAGCGAAGGGGAGCTAGGGTACAAAAAAATTCTGTGATGAGATAGGACCTCAGAAGCGTAAAAGGCATAAACTCACAGAAGAAGAGCTAAGCTAAAGCTAAGTTTTATTTTAAAAAACTTCAAGAAGGAGACGTACGAAATTTTGCAAGTGCTATGCAGATGATATTGGCGCTTTGCAGCACTTTTCTCTCCAACTATGCACGAATATTTCATTGTATTCTACGCACCAAACAAAAATAGAACCAGCATCCCTGCTGAGAGCTTTAGCTCTACGCCGCTTTAGCTCTAATAAAAGAGCTGAACATCATTGTTGGAACCCTGACATATAAACGCTGCAGAATGTTTATGGAATTCATACGGCGTTAGCACATTTTCTTGGAAGAGAAAGCTATAGTTTCCTCAGAGAAATAGGATGAATACCAAGCTAGACAACATGTTTTCTAGAAAAAATATGACTACTGTGATTGAGCTGGCGTTGAAGCTAAGGTTACCCGTAGCCCAGCAACTCAAAGTAATTGAGGTCCATAAAAGGCTTGCTGGGAGTAATTATTGAGAAAAAATTAGGAAGCAGAGAGCGGCTCAACCCCCAGACAATGCATTTACTAGCCGTTTCCAGGAGTAAAGTATTACTTGAAGTACACACGCACTTATCATTATTCTACTTCATATATCGCACAAGGTTACTGTAGCGTACTGTAAAGTGAAAAGGCCGTTTCCAGAAGAGCTGTGCAAAGCGATTTGCTTGATAGAATGTAAAATACAATAAAGACTGCCATTTTACTTGAACATCTTGGTATACGTCTTCTTTTTACTATCTGCTAGCTCAATCCTTTTTTGCGCCAAAACTGCCATTTCCGCTTGGACTAAGGACTCGTTTTTGGGTGTCTTTGCCAGCTTTTTCAAGTCCTCTTCCGCCTAAAATAAATATAAAACTTTCTGATTTTTGTGATTAATTTTTGTTAAGAAAAATAGTCGTTCCTCATCAAAATTGACAACGAGCATAGAATACCTCATCAAGCTGCCAACATCCTATTCGAGCTCTCGCTCTTCGATATAACGCTTTCTCATTATCGGGGTCCCGTGATAAAACCTAGAAACTACATGTGGTGCAAGGAGTAGACGACAACATAATCTCGCATTTTTGGTAAAGCGGCCCTTTTGCACCGCATCATAAAGCATGTTTTCGTAGCAGAACCAGAAGTCAATATGTTTTTATGGCACTGAAATACCCAGTTTAGAAAAAAAATGAACTCACTTCAGACGCTGTCTCAGCTGCTTCATACATATTGCCGACATTTAAGTAGCATTGTGATAAATTAGCATATAGGGGAATATTCTAAAACTCAATTATCGTATCACCTGACTAACTATTATTTTTTACACACCTT